TTCAAGGAAAATTCAGAATCTTTGAAGTAAAATGCATAGCGCTGGTTGGAAAGATGGCCCTGGAAAGCAGGTGACACAGGTGAAACTGAACTCCTATGGTGTAAAAGCATGGCCCAAAACCATATCCTTTTCCTAGCTCCACATGTCTGTCTCCCTTAGTACAAGGTGCCCTTGCCTGTCGTTTATCAAAAAGAATTCACTAAACTGAGAACAGCAAACTGATCCTACAAGATTCTAATCATCAGGAGTGTCCTGTGGTTTATAGGTAAGAACCATAATGGCCAGTATCCTCTTTCTGGGATGTCCTGGAGGAAATAGAACTACTTCAAGTAATCCCCCACAAGAAGGACTGGAGCCCACCAGACTATTGTAAATTCCCTAAAGCTCACAGCATCACTGACTTTTAACTACAGAATTGAGAAACTTCTCAAGAAACATCCCTTTATAGTTCATGGTCCAGGGGATCGCTCCCAAGAAAGCTGAGAAAGCAACTTGCTTAAGCTCCTGGGTGGGAGAGAATTAAGAGGAAAAGGTGTTGTAACTGGCTTTTGGAACCCCAACCACAATGGGTTCCTCTCAGCTCAAGGTGAAGTGTGCTGCTGTGGAAGAAAGAGTTGTAAATGATGAGTCCAGTAGGCCCCAGCTTGCTGTGTGGTCATGGACCTGTGAGCTGCTGGCCATATCTTTAGGGTGAGACTTTGGATTTGCTAGATGGACTTGGATGGCTCTCACACCTCTTGATTTTATTAAAAACCCTGGAGGGTATTGGCTGAGCTAGCAGGAGGTAATGTAATTACTTGAGTGAGATGCAGTAGGCTAAACATCTGTGGCTCTTCTTTCCCAGGTCACGGTCAAGCTTGCCTGCTCGGGTAGCTCTCTCCTGCTTACAGATCCAAGTGGAGGTTTGATTGCCCCAGGATCCCTGACTCTTGGGTCACCAGATTCTTTCCCCAAAGTGGGAGAGTCTGGTTGCTGAAGGTGCAGAGGAGATTCTGCAGTGTGTCTAACTCCAGGGAACCTCTCCACTCACCACTGACCAATCTTTACCCTTCCCCGGGCACAACCAGCCCTGGGGCAGGTAGAGGGGGTGTCTCTCGAGGGCCTCTCTACCTAGCAACTGGCACTCCAGTAAGGCCTGCTTTCCCCAGCTCTGTTTAGATATAGCCTTTGTCCAAACGCTGTCTAGTGGCCCTGTCCTCGGTATACACCATGGGAAAGACCCACAAAAATGCTGTGTGGTCATCTAATTTCTGTAAAAGGGATGAGTGGCCCCACATGGGTCAGGGAGGGGAGGTAGAGAGAGGATGTCTCCACAGTACAGACCCAGAGCCAGGGCTCCCCTGTGGGGCCTGAGACAGGCTGGCCTTCACTCCCCAGGAAAGCCAGCATGTGGGCTGGGCAAGTCCTCCAAGGCTGGTCTATTGTTGATGCTTGTTTTCAATTGGGAAAGGAATTTTCCACATTGTTTGATGTAGGGTAAGGTGAAAACTCCAGCAAGCACATAACGTTGGAAGCATTATTAGGCTCCAATTCCAGCTCCACTCTTTCCAATGGGTATACTTTTATCTATTTCAATTACTCATCAAACACTTGGGTGTTATTTTCTGCATACCAGTCCAGTGTGTTCCACACATCCCATTCAGCTCTCATTTATGTCAATGGGCATTGAAGCTTAGTTCAACCCAACAAGCTCCATTATCCAGCTCACACTCATGCTGGCGGGTGCCATTCTAACTACTCCTGCCCCTGTCTTGGTTTTCATGTTCTCCAATGGCAGTGACAATCCAAGACGGAGGTGACTACTATTTCCCTGCTGGGCCACTCCTACTCTAGGATCAGGTGGTTCTGCAATTTAACTTGACAGAATTAGCCCCCAGTGCCAACCTCTGTCAGCTGATGCTGCGGTAAAGCCCAATCAACCCTCACCCACTCTGATTTATGCTTTCACCAGTGAGAATAATCAGCCCAACCTGGCTTTTCCCTGATCTAGCTCACATGAGGCCGACAGGTGTCATAGCCCTGCCTGGTATGGTTTGCCTCCATCCCAACTCTTGCTCTCCAGTGGGAGTAGCTGTCCAGCAGGGGAGCCCTCCACATTTCCCCTACCGGCTTTGCTCCCTCCCTGGTTCTCACATGTGCTGGTTGAGCACTGCAGCCCAGTCCGGCATGGCCCACTTTGCCTTGGCATTTGCCAGTGGGTGCTGTAGCTTGGCCAGGCCTGGCCCACCCCCAATTCCAGGTGACACTGGTAAGGGTTACAGCTAGCCCAGCAAACAGTTGTCCATAGGTAACTGAAACCCTGGAAAATGAACCCAATGGGAAACGCGGGACCTGTGGCACTCCTGCTGTCACTTTGGAGAGAATCCAATTTGGATGAGCAGTTTGCTTCTCTTGGCTCAGATGCATTCCAGCAGCGGGATGCTCCTGTAGCCAAAAAACCCCTCCAAGGAGGTCAAATAGAAACAGATTTTAAAAAAGAGAGACTTATTAGAAAGAAAGAAAGAAAGAAATATTTCATCTGCTGGTTCACTCCTCAGTGACTAAACAGCCAGGATTGGGCCAGGCTGAAGCTGGGGAGCCTGGAGCTTCTTCTGGGTCTCCCACATTGGATGCAGAGGCCCAAGAACTTGGCCATTTTCCACAACTTTTCCAACAGCAAGAAGCTGGAATGGAAGTGGAGCAACTGGGACACCTGTTGGCACCCATTATGAGATGTTGCCATCACAGGCAGTGTCATCTGCACCACGATGCCATCCCCAGAAACAGATTTTTTAAAGGCAATCTGTTTACATGCATGCCTGCATTTGTCCAACAATGAAGGTAGGGTCACATGATGCTGTGAGTATTGCAAAGGGACCACAGTTAAATGGGTGGTGCTTCAGGCAGCTGTGACACGAAGGCCAGATGTATATTTCTGCGTAGTTGTGTTTCCCATGTCTTATGTTGTTGGCACCTTTGGTGATGAAAAGGAAGGACTGGCCCTGGTCAATTACAAGGTTTGTAGTTGGCTCAAGTAGGGGTTCAGATCCATGACAAAGGGACCAAGCCTACCAATGATTCTGTAGTCACTTCCTGATGACCTATCCGTGCAGGTTATTCCCTCTGAGATCTCCCTTAACCACTTCAACCCCACTAAACAGTGGCTTCCAAGGTGCAGAGGACTTGGACTGGCCTTGTGTCAATCAGATAGGGTCAAAGATAGGATCAGATAATCTGCAAATAAACAAGGTAACACATCCATGAATCTATGTTCTAATAAAACTTTATTTGGCCCATCCTGATCAAGTTTAATAATGTTTAATAGATTTTTCTTTAAACACGAGTCATTATAACAATTCCTCTGTAATAACAACTATATATGAACTCCCAGTCAAGGTCAGCAGCTTGTTACTTTACCAAAAAAAGTCAAGCTGCACTCTGAGGACAACATGGCACATGAGGAGGGCGTACATTTCCTTTCCTTAAGACCAAACCAAACCCCAACGCACTCCGTATATACACATTCTCTGTCAGTGTGATTAGCTCTGTCTTTTAAACAACAGTCCTAACAGTTTGCAGGTTTTGCTGTACAATTCCTGGTTTTGCTGATGAGATTTAAGGTGCTGGGAATGTGAGGGTAGACACAGCCTAAGACCAGCCCTGGAGGGTCCTCTACCTGAAAATGGGGTGGACTTTCTGTGGGCATCCTGGGGATTATGGGGAGGTGAGTGGAGCTGGGAACCAGTGGCAGAGACAGCAGGGCATTCCAGGGGCCCTGATGGGCAGCTCTCGGTGCCCCCACTTTTGGCTCCTGCGCAAAGCCTGTGTGCTCCGGGTTCCTTCTGGCCCGAACAGGTGTCTGACCCCTGGGGGCCCACACCATCAGCACCCATTCTTTTATACCCTCCCCTCATTCTAGATCCCTTGCCCTCAAGGCCGCTACTTGTCCAGTGCATATATGTGATGCCCGCTCTTTGCCAAGACTAACATGGACCAGGATCGAGGGCAGCAGAAACCAAGAGTGATGGTTCCCACGTGAAACCTTCTGACACATTTGCTCAAGGGCAGGCACTCACCACTTTCCTCTAAACAAACAATTCATGCCAAGAGCATAAGGTCCCGAGGTAGGCTTGCAGGGAGCTAGGGATATGAGGTGGGGAGAGCCGGGGGAGTTTAGGGATAGCTTAGAGGGATTCCTGGGATCTGCTGTCTTCAAACTCACCCGTGTTTGCTGGGCTCTGGGGCCTGAGGGCTGCGGCTGTCTGTGTGTGTCGGGAAAGTGCATAGGGAGTGAGTGTTGGTGAAGGAAGTGGCCGGTTCTACCAAGGTTTTCCAAAGCTCAGATCTGAACCGGACTACACCAGATCACACAAGTTTGAGGCAAAGTGGGGTGTGGGGGTGGGGGTGGGGCTGGTGGAGGATAGCATGTAAGCACTTAGGGAGCCAGAGAAAATATGCTGGGTGAGGAGGAGAAATACTGGCTCGTTGACAGTATTGCCATTCAAGAAGACATTGCCTGGAATCAAAGTACATGGGCCAGAGCCTGGGACTGATGGTAGCCGATCGGGAAAGAAACAGGTCCAGGTTTCTGACGGCACAATCCACGTCAAGCCCAATAGGGGAGCAGAGATGTGGGCAGACACGGACCTGGCCTGTGACCTTCAGTTATGACTTGGCTTCTCTGGGGCCACTTGACCTCGGGTGTGGGTTGACGCTGTCAGGGCCCGGTGGTTTCAGAAGGAGTCTTTCACAATTTCTCTGCCCAGCAATACCACCCTCAAGCTGCGCCCGCCCTCCTTGGCTGGCACCGTGCTCATCCCGCTGCTAGCCTCCTGTCCAATCCCGCTCCCAGAGGTTAAAGGCTCGTTATTAAGGCAGTTTAAGAAATGGACATTCCTCTGCTCCTCGGATCCTTCACATGTTCTGTGCCCCCCACCATCCCAAGGCAGCGGCGAGGGGAGGACCGGATGAGGACCGGGTAGTTGGAAGAACCCAGTTTGTCCCTGCGGCCCCCTCGGCCCTCACCACCGTTCTTTGGAGAAGGCCTCTGCCTGCACGAGGTCGCCAGGGTGTTCGGAGATGCACGCGCCGTTGAGGTCAACCAGCTTGCTGTCTGGCAGCTCCTCCGGCTTGGAGCACAGTTTCAGCGCGCGAGAGATGAACACGTCCAAGTCGAACTGGGGGCTGGCGCCGCCATCGCTGCCAGGTGCGGGGCATCTTGGGGGCGAGGCGGCCCGACTGCGCTCGGGGCTGACCGGGGCTGCGGTGGCGCATTCGGAGCCGGCCTGCGTGCTCTGCACCCACTGCGCAATCTCCAGGAAGAGGTTGGCGGGCTCATCCTCGTGCTGCACAGCTCCAGTAGCCCCCATCGCAGTAGCAGCCGTCGTCGGGGGCGGGCCGGCCGCTTGCTTCCAGTGGGACAGGTCCAAGATAAGCTTGGGCTCCGAGTAGTGGTGCGGCTTGCTGTCGCGCCATAGCAATTTGTCCAGGTATGACGGCGAGCCCACCTTGTAGTCACAGGAGCGCCCATAGTCGGCCTCAAAGGCACGCTCCATGGACGAGTGTGACTGTTCCAGGAAGCGTTCCGAGCTGCTCTGCGAGTCCTTGCGGGGATCCACCTGCACGTCCTCAGCCAGTGGCGCTGAGCCCGCGCGCGGATCGCGCTGCACCTCGCTTGTATCCTGGCACCGGTCGGGCCTCCACTCCAGGTCTGAGGACAGGCTCACTGGGTATCTGCAAAGAACAGAGGGCTGGCTGGATCCTTGTTGGATGGTTGGCCGGGAGGGGGTGGAAAAATTCAGGAGGCAGTCCCTGAATCTCTGACATACTCCCACCCCTAGCCCCAGATGGTACAGGTAATGATGCGATACGGGGCTTAACCCTTGCATTTATTAAAAACCAGTGGGGTATTTCTATATGCCAGAGCTTCAGTGATCTGTGCTCCACTACTCCCAAGCCCCTCGACACACCCAAGAGCAAAACAAAGTTCCCCAGGGATCCACCTGTGTGCCACTCCTCCCTTGCGCCATCTTGTAAAGATGCAGAGTTTTACTCAACAGATCTAAGCTGGGCCGGAGAGTTTGCATGTCCAACAGGCTTCAAATGGCTGTGGACATCACTGGTCTCTGCATGACACTCTGAGTAGCAAAGCCCTAATAGGGTGCTTCTCAACCCTGGCTAAGAATTGAATCACATGTATTAGGAAGAGGGGCGGGAAATGAAAAAGAAAATCCCAGCCTGCCCCATCCCCAAGCCTGGTTCAGTAAGGTTTCAGGTATGTGTGTGTGTGGAGGGGACTCTGAGGGTCTGGGTGACTGAAATGTGCAGCTGGGGCCTGGCAGTCCCTGTCTTAGTGGCTCTGCTTGGGTGCCCCCAGAACCCCACATTGGCACTCTCAGAACAAGCCAACGATCCCTGGAACTCTGCCCACTCCCTCACTCCCCTCTTATCCCTGCAGACCATGGGGGGAGATGTCAGGTCAACTGGCCCAGGGCAGATGGTTGGTCAGTTGGACCTGCAGCTTTGGCTGAGTACTCCCCTCCTGGGCCAGGTTGTTCTGTGCAGAGCTGGGGTGTGGGGGTGGCAGGGCAGTCAGCAGCCAGCTGTGCCTTGAACCAGAGGCTTGTATTTGCACAGGACAGATAGAAAAGACAAGGGCAGGTAGAGGTGGCTGCGTGTGTGAGGGGCAGGCCAGGCAGCTGTGTGGGGTTTCACAGGCACAAGAAGGCCTGGGGCTGCCCAAAGCCAAGTAACACCACTGTGGCCTCCTCCTACCCTGCAGGGTGTCCAGGAGGAGGTGCTCCAGGCGACCCTGGCCCTTGGAAGCTATGCTGATCCTGGCGCCTGGGCTGTGTGCAGAACTTGGGGTGATCTATAGGTTTTGTAGTGGTCCCAAGGGCTTGGTGTCACCACTCCTGCCTTGGAGATAGATGCCACATTCCTAGAGATTAGGCAGATGGCAGTGCCTTGCCATGGCCTGTCTCTTCCGGGTCCCTCATGCAGATATGATGATGATGGCTGGCTGCAGAGAGGCTGGCCAAGCTGGTGGACAGTGACCGAGGAAACAGGAAACATTGCAACAGTCTCTCCTGTGCCATGGCCATTCCAAGTAAAGGTAGAATCAAGGCCCTGCATACCAGAGGGGAGGGCAAGGGGCTGCCAGGAGTGCAGCCCAGGGCAGGCCTGGCACGGGGGTGGCAGAAGAAGAAGAGCCTTCACTCATCTCTGTACGCCAACAGCACTGGCAGACTACCATTGACAATGACAGCAGACCTGTCCAAAAGTAGCAGTGTCGCCCCGGCCCTCCCTTGCACCTTTTCCCACTGCCATCATCCATCAAACAACTAAAAAGAAGAGAAAGTGCTTGTCTATTGGCTGACATGTTCCCACAGCAGGAGTGGGACTCCTGGGCACACTCTGAAAGGCCTAAGAGCTGCCAAGCCCTTGTCTGCTATTTCTAAGCTGGGCAGCTGAACAGGTGCAAGGTGATGCTGAGACTTTTAGCTGCCTGAGCTGAGAAAGTGGGGACAGGATAGGATGCATGAGACTGCTTTGTATCATTGCATGATGTTTTTCTGCTCATCCTGTGTCATTTCCGGTGACTTCCAGTGACACTGGTTGAGGACTCTGAGCCAACTTCTTTTTGGCAGGCAGGAGGCCTGTAATTTTTCAGATGTGTGTGACATGGAGCACACCTTGAGAAGAGCCCCATGGGACCAAGGGCTAGCTGGGTGTTGCAACACCAATCTCAACCTCTCTGAGCCATATTGGAGGGAGGGCACTGCTAGTAACAGGGCCTCCCTCACTGGCACCCTCAAGAGTGCATAGCACCGCAACATGAGACACCCTGAATTGCTTTCTTGTCAGGCAATGGGTGAGTTGAGTTTTTGGGGCTCGTTCTCAAGCTGCTATGAGTGTGTACAGTAGGTGCTCACTAAATGCTTGCCCAGTGTGGTCTGGGACCTTGTGTTTAGCAGACCTAGGCTGGTGAGCAAAGCTGAGGCAGGGTGCTGTCAAGGGAAAGGCCTTGACCTACACACACAGCTGGCAATGGGTTGTTTGCTGTGAGTGTCTGGACTTTGGAAAAAGGCAGGAAGCTAAGCGGAGGAATGTGCTCCATGGGCTGCACGGTTTAGGAGATAGAGAGAAGGTCAGAGAAGATGTGAGGCACCATCAGAATGGGAGGAAAGGGGAGCATGGGCTCTGGACAGTGGGTCCAGAAGCCCCTGGCACCGCACCTGTCCCAGTTGGAGAGCTGGCTCTGGTTGGCGGCCATCAGCACAATGTCGTCGATTTCATCCTCGATGCGGAAGGGATGTTGCGAGATAGGCTCATCCTCGGGGCATGAGTATGGGCTCATGTAGGGGTGCTGGAGCCCCATCTCGGCTGTGAGGCGATCCATGGGGTTGAAGGTCAGGATCTTCTCCAGAAAGTCTATGGCTGCAGAGAGCAGAATGGAATGTTAGGGTGCCTGATTGCCCCAGGCCACACATGGCACGCTCCACGGCGCAGTGGTGACCTGGTGTTTGTGTATGGAAGTGTGTCAGCTACCACACCTTACAGGTAGTTCTGCTTGAGGGGCTGCTCCAACAGTCCACTCCCTTCTGTCAAGGGGTCAGGCCTGTTGGGGCAGGTGGAGGAGCTGGCTTCTGCAGAAGCACCCAGGAGGGAGTCGTGGATGTCAGTAGGAAAGAGGTGAATGTGGCTGGGAGCACTGGGATAAGGCTGGCACAGTGCCCAGGGTGCTTTCTATTCTGTGTCTTCAATATGGGCAGGCTTGCTAGACTCTCAGAACACTTAGGCAATGGGCTGAGGCTCCCTGCTGTGCCAGACAGTCACCCTTTAGTGGCTAGAGCTAGGCACTCTTGGAAGCTGTGTGCAGCAGCTGTCACCAGCCAGTGTGAGAGCACACCAGGGCTTCAGCAGCCCTTATTGGGGCCCAGGTTGAAGGTCAGTTTTGTATATAGGTGCTGCAACCCTTCCTCCTATGGGCCTCAGCCTGCACTAAGAGCCTGCTCTGCACTCTAGCCCTGGAGAGCTGTGGAAGAAGAATCATCTAAGATTCAGGAAATCAATGTGTTGAGAAGGTTACACGTCTCCAGGGAGGGTGTAGCATTGCTATGTAACCCTGCAAGATGAGGTAAGCACTGGTTTTGATTGCCCCAAACCTGGCTCCCAGACAGTCAGGAGCACCATCACACAGAGCCCTCCAGGGCAGGGCCCAGCTCCAGACCTGGGCAAGTCGTGCCCTGGTAGGCCTCCTGCTCCCCATTCTGCCCTGTCCATGACCCTGGAGCAGAGGGATTTGAGGCTTCAAGTGCTACAGGCAGCATGCCTGTGGTCCTCATAAAACAAACAAACAAATAAACAAACAAAAAACCCACCAGCAGCAGAGGGATACACTGGCATCCAAGTCACTCCTGGGGTGTCCTGGGGGAGACTCTCATTTCCCTCCACCTCCACAGTGGCCACCTGGGGTGCCCAGGTACTTCTGGGAAGGCCAAGGGTCTTAAGAACTTTTCCTTTTCCCATCCTCCATCTGTCACCAAAGGTTTGCTGTGTGTATGGTCACTTGGTGCAGAGTTGTCATGGGTGACATGGCCCTGATTCTGAGCCATGAACACAGCTCTTGCTGCATGGTGGGATTGTTAGAGAAGCACAGAAATTCAAGGAGATGTTGTACCTGGCGCGGTAGCCTAGCGGCTAAAGTCCTTGCCTTGAATGTGCTGGGATCCCACGTGGGCACTGGTTCTAATCCTGGCAGCCCCACTTCCCATCCAGTTCCCTGCTTGTGGCCTGGGAAGGCAGTCGAGGATGGCCCAAAGCCTTGGGACCCTGCACCTGCGTGGGAACCCTGGGCTCCTGGCTTCAAATTGGTTCAGCTCCAGCCACTGCAGCTGCATGGGGAGTGAATGAGTGGATGGAAGCTCTTTCTCTCTGTCTTTCAATTAAAAAAATTAAAATAAATCTTAGGAAATAAAAAGAAATTCAAGGAGATGTGATGGGTCAAGTCTCAATCTGTGCTGAATTATACATCACCCTTTCCCATTAGTGATATGGGAAAACTGATGCAGTTGACTGAAGCGGGGTCATGGTCAAAGGCATTGTAGGTCCAAGTTCTTAGTTTCTTGATAGGGGAAGACTGGGACAGGGATAGCTTGTTGGCATCTCATGTACATTCTCCTCTTTTATATAATAAAGGGCATAGGGTGTCAGGAGTGTGCACATGACAAAGTTTTGGTCACTAGGGATTAAGTGGGAATGAGTTTTACATCAGGCTCCGGACACTGAGGGCAAGGGACCTGCCCTCCCTTCCTCTCTCTTTCCCTCTCTCCCTCCCTTCCTCTACTGGGACAAGGCCAGTGCCCTTCGCTGGCAGCACAACTGGCCACATGGGCAAGTCCATGCTATTCGCTCTGGACCATCTGTCTGGATTTTCTGGGAAATACACTTCTTAACTTCTTTTGTATTAAATAATAGATCAACCTTAGTTAAGCCAATGAGAATTTGTGTTTTTAGAACTGGATGGACCTATCTCCTACATTACACAGGTGTGCAACTCTGTGATAAGAGTGACAGCTAAGATTGATGGAACAACCATCCTATGCCAAGGGCTTTACTGATTCTCCTTCATTGTCATGGTCACCCTACGTGTGCTGCTCTATGGTACTCCTTTGACAGCTCAGGACACTGAACTACAGAGAGCTTAAGTTCCTAACTCAGAGCCATACAGCCAGTGACTGGTGGGGGCTGGGAACTGAATGGCAGTCTCCAGCTGAGAAGGCTCTTATTCTTTACACCAGATCATACCTTCCATGGAAAACAAGCATAGGCTGATGAAGGAAGTTGAGCTCTCATCTGATGTGTGGGACCAGAAGCAGGACAGATTCGGGAGATTCCCCACCAAAAACACTAAGCTTGAAATATTTGCTGGCCCTTACTGGGTGAGCACCCCTCATCTGAACACTTTGGAGCATCTCAGTTTTCGGTTGGCAGCATTTTGGATTTCAGATTTTCGGAGTGGGATACTGAGGGCAGTTGTTCACTGTCCCAGAAGGGCCTTTGGCTCGGCCTCCAAGGAACATGCTCCACCCTTTCGGAAGCAGGCTCTGTCTCTGGCCCACCAGCAGCACCCACAGCCCAGTCTCTCACACGCTGGCTACTTGCTGTCAGGCTTCAGTACCTTCGCTGTTGACTTCGGGGAGCAGCTTGCGCAGTGGCCGCTTCACCTCCCAGCTGCTGCTGACGAAGGAGGGCATTACCCTGAGCAGCTCGTCCTTGTCTTCCTCCCGGATCACAGGGATTGTCTCCAGGATAAGCTGCATCTGCTCCAGCTCATGAGCCCCTGGGGAGGAAAACACCAGGTGCTGAGGGTGCTTCTTGAACAGCTGGGAACCGTGGCAAAGGGGTTCTGGCCTTCACTCTGCCTCTAACTTGCTGTGTGACTCTGGAGCTTGGCTTTGTTGAATGTAGAATGAAGAGTCTAGATTATCTCCATCCCTTAGCATTCTGTGTCTCTGGGCTGGTTCAGTTCACTATGAACTGAGTCAGCAGGTGCTAAAGGGATGGGAGAGCCTGGCCCCAGGCTTCCTGGGATGGCTTCTCACAGGTCTCTGCACATGCTCTGCCAGGCTCTGGGAGGAGATGAACTGAAGGCTTTAGTTATCAGTGGGAAGAGTCTATCTAGAAGTAGTAGCAAGTTAGAGGCAGAGAAGGAAGAGTTAAAAGTACACAGTGGTACGCCCCACTGTGGTCAATCTCCAGAGCTGAGCTGCTATGAGAAAATACTGTAGCCTGCTGGTTTATGAACAGCAAGCATTGGCTTCTTTCTGGAAGCTGGGCACTCCATAACAGAGCTGCTGGCAGATGCAGTGTCGGAACAGGGGCCTGTCCTTTCTTGCTGTGTCCCAAACAGCTCCCTCTGTCTTTTCTCATAAGAATGCTCATTTCCATTCATGAGGGCTCCACTCTCATGACTTAACTGTTTCCCAAAGACCTTCCCTGTTCATACTATCACCTTGATAGTCCAGACTTCAGACTATAAATTGGAGGGGTAGGGAGTGGAACACAAATATCTAGGAAGCAAAGTGACAACTTGCTGGCAACAAGAGGCTGATTTCTAGTCTCTCTAGTCCTTTTGACTGAAATGATTATAATGGGCTGTCTACAAACACTTTCTGAAAAGCCACAGAAGAGGTCAAAGGTCAGTGTGCTTTGTGGTTTGCACATGTTTCATGCCCGGTTTGCCCCTTCTTTGGTGCGGCACCAGGAGAGAGGACAGTGACTCACCTGCAAAGAGCATTCTCCCTGTGAGCATCTCGGCCAGGATGCAGCCTGCAGCCCACATGTCGATGGCTTTGGTGTAGTTGTTTGGGGACAGGAGCAGTCGAGGGGAGCGGTACCACTTTGTCACCAGCCCTTCTGACAGATAACCCTGGAAAACAAAACCCCAGGCCTCTACCGTGAGCCCTTGGCCGCTGGCCTTGCTCAGCTTCCCCTCCCATGGAGCCCGGCACGGCCTCTTTCATTCTTGTCCTTTTCCCATTGCCCTCCAAGGAGCATTACACAATAGGGGTCTGCTTATGGGGACTGAGCCTGGTGTGTAGGGGTCCTGGGAGATCCTGTGGGATTCTCCCTTGCGGGAAAGGAACCAGGTGTCAACTTACAGAAGTGATGAATTCCCACTCTGTCTATTGTTGCCATCAGCACAGGATGCACTGGAATTTGAACTCAGACAAAGCCCCGCATCTGACACCAACAGTGTCAGTGGATACAGATCATTAAGATCCCTGCTGCTATGACTAAGGCTGAGCCATTGTTGAGAACCAACCAAGTAATCCTTAACGGGTGCAGGTGAAGGGTATCCCTAAACAATAGAGTGAGCACAGCTTTTATTGGACAAAGGATTCTGGGAGCTGATCCTGGTGTCCTTGATGGGGTAAACAGATGTTCTAGCTGACCTGGGTCTCTGTTGAGTGATTCGTGGTCTGGGATGGAATTCCTCTCTGCAGCATATGGTGATGACACAGGTGTTTTAGTATAGGTAAGGAATTTTTTCCTGGATAACTTAGAACTTATTTTCCACCTAATTCAGAAAGCTGGACCAATAGTGAAATCTGAGAAATGCCTCTCTAAAGACAGAGGAAGACCTGTTTGGGGAGTTTAAGTTAATGGTCAAGACCAAGGAGATTCAATGAGAGGCTGTAGGTATGGTCTTGTTATTTGCTATTGGTGTTCTCGATTTCCAGCTTGAGTTTTCATTTATCCTGATGTAAAACGTATCACACACTCAAATTAAAGTGAATGAAAAATTAGGAGGCCCAGATATAGGAGCTTTTGACCCGTTCATCTGAGATCCTTTCATCTGTTGAACAAAGACTTATTGAGTGTCTAAAGCCTTCTGGGAGCTCCAGATTATGACAGCCGTTCTTTCTCTCGCTCTCCTCGGTGGCCATTATTTCTTCAAACACAGCCTCAGGATGGTGAGAGGAAGGGGGAAGGGAAAAAGGCATCTTTGTTGTTGGAAGGACTACAGCATATCTTACCAGCCTATGTGGACAGACCAAGAGACTTGCCTTGAGTCGAAGGTTATTGTCTCTCTGCTTCAGGCATTTTCATGAATACCTTCGACATAGGGTCAGTCCACCTTCCACCCTACCTGGCTACTAGGCGAGGCTGGCTTCCCTCAGGGCACCCATGTTTTTCTTTTGTGTCTTTATGTTTCTGCAGCTGCTCACTTTCTTGGCTGCCTAGATGATGTGCCCCTGCTGGGTGGCAGCTAAATGCCCCTCCTGAGTGGCAACTATATCTTGTTGTATAGCTACTGCTCTATCAGCCAGCCTCTTGTCTGCCTCCTAGAAAATGTGCAACAAACACCACTGAATCAAGAAATGAGAGACTGAATGAGCAAGGCACAGCTCTGAATACCCTCCAAAATGGGCATGCTCTGCAAGTCCCCCTTATTCTTGTCTTTGACGTTTGACTTTAAGGAGGGCTTCCTTGCAAAAACATGTGAGGAGTTGACATGTGTTGACAGATGATGTCGATGATGGAAAGGGGGCATACTGGGGTAAGGGAAAGTAAAGGAGTTGCAATATTTTCTGCCAAACCCAGGGGCAAGAGAATTCCAGGCAAAGATGGAGATGGGAAGACATGGAAGGTAAATACCTGGGTCTATGGGACAGACTCTGGAGGCCTGGGGCTCCTGCCCTCAATTGCCATGAGGTTTGAGGGTCCCATTGGCAGAGGTTGTGGAGCCCAACATGTGACACTGCTGATCAGAGATCAAAATAGCAGTTTTCAGTGGAGGTTCAAGTCAATTTTTCTAGGAAAAATATCTTTGAAGAATATACAAGAGGGGATATGCAATTGTAACAGAAGATATTTCTGCATCAATCAATAAAAGAACCCTCCCAGTGGTGTTTCTGCATAAGCCTGCAAAGCGACAATGGCCTCAGCACCATCTGGATGACATGGGAACGTGACCTGTCTTCAGGGGCCTGGCCTGGGCTTCTGGGGACAGAATGTACCCACATGCAGGCTGCTGGAGGCAGAGGTGGCTAGGATAGCAGGCAGAGTGCACAAGCACTGTATGAACACGGGTGTCATAGCCCCTTGAGTGAGTTTAAGTCATTGCCAAGCTGAGGAGACATGAAACCTGTGCCCCTTAGTTCACTGGGACCCCCGCTCAGCAACCAAGAGTTGCTCCTTCAAATGGTCTCTTCCTCCTGCTACCCTGATCTTAGGGTTCCAGGCCGAGAAGGGCTTTGTAGGCAACCCTTGGACGCAGCTAGGACATGGTTTCCTTTCTAGACCCTTCCAAGTTGTGTATGTGCGTGTCGGGGGAGAGGGGGTGGTTGTTCTTTGGGCCTTCTTCAACCTTTGTTCCCACAGCCCATTCAACCCATTCAGGAGCCTTTGACTACAAAAGCTTTAGGTGTCTGAGAAGTAATCTAGCAGCAGCTGCCCTATGATGAGCATAATAGGGGCTCCCAGTAGTTCTAGAAGAAAGAATTAAAGCTCTGAGCATTCTCTTTTCAGATGGGAAAGGGAACAGCCCTCAGTCCCAGCTTCCACCGCTTTCATCCCCAGGGAATTCAGAACAGCCTGAATCAAAGTCAACACAGAAGGGTCTACCCCCAACTGCTGCTCCGAGAAGCACGGGCTGACTGGATGTCAGTTCTGCTTGCCCTCTCCACACTGCCACCTTCCCCTGGGAGTCAGGGGTGGGGGATGGAAAATGTGCTGCAAACAAACTTTCTATTTCACCCTTTAGGGTCACTGAGCCCCACTGATCCAGGGCTGGAGAAGTGCAGTGGGACAGTAGCTCCAAGTTCAAGAACCTAGCCAACTGTGGCTTGTGTGTATGTGGAGGAGTGGGGAGCCCAGGGCTGAGAGAGCTGCTCTCTCTCCTCCTGCTGAGTGGATCAGCTTAGGACTGTTTCCCAGACAGCACAGGAGATCTCTGACAGCCCTTCCTTCCCACTCACATGTTCTGGAATGTGTCCTGGGAGGTCTGTGTGTGGGATCAGGAAGAGACATAATGAAGGAGGAGGTGAGAGGTTAACATGTGTGCCTGGTTCTGTGATGGTATCTCACGTGGATGACTCCAGGAAGCCTTGCAGCAGCCTTGTCCCAGGTCTATCAATGAGAAGCAGTCAAAGATGCGGGCTCTGGAGCCCTGTTATCTTGAGAATGTACACTGTGGAATCCTCCACAGAATGACAGGCAGAACAGAGTAAATAGTGAGTAGCCAGGGAGAGGCTGGAAAAGCCATGCTGTGGGAGAGCAGAGGGGGCAGAGAGGATAAGGTGGTCAGGCCTGAGCTGGTCTTAACCGGTGGAATAGCCAAGTGTGAAAAAAGGTGGTGCAGGTAAAGAGACCAGAATGGGCTTTGGGGAAAGAGACCACTGGACACACTAAGCCCGGGAGGAAACCTGCAGGTCAGTGGTCCTGCAGGACCCCTGGCCTCAGAAGGGTGGGAGGAGTTTGTGAAACAGACAGCCCAAGGTCACCCCACCTGGAGCACCCCAGTCTTGTCTTGAATGAGCTCCCATGTGCACACTCCTGCCTCTTCCCAGGTTGAGAGCCCAAGCTGGGACTAAGAAAGTCCACAAGGTGGCCCTTGGAGCAGGAGGGACAGCAGGTAGGACTCTCAGCAGAGACTGTAGAAGGTCCCTCTTCCCTTCCCAGGAAGAGGGTGACGGTAGAGAGGCAGGGGAACAGCCCCAAAGCTGTCCAGGTTTGCACACTGGTTGGCCATGAAGCCAATGCTTCTTGAATGCAAGGGGTTAATGGGATCAGCAAGGCCCCTGGGCACCAACTTCTTAGGTCAAGCCCCAAAGAAACCAGGCTATGAACAGTCAAACATTTCACCCTAGGGGGACAATGGGACTGCTTCAACAGATTCTGTGATTTTTGAAAGATCCTGGGCTCCAGGTTGCCTCCTGGTGCATGTGCCATGGGAATCAAAGGCTCAACCCTGCATGCATGTGCAGTTTGCAAGCATGGGAGCTGTCATCAGACATCTGCCAGGCTGGCATCTGGAAGAGGAGCTAAGCTTGCTCTCTGAGCTCTGGGGGATAGGGGAGGGAGTGTGGGCAGAGCCAAATGCCCAAAACAGACATTCTTGTGGTCCAATAACCCTAGCTGATATTTGCTGGGACCCTTAAATGGTTCTAGCTGCTAGATCTGAATTAATCCATTTCATCCTCATAAGTGCCCTCACAGTAGTCATTTTGCAGGGAGGGGACAGACCCAGAGAGGGTGAGCACCCATCTATGGTCACACAGCCTGTGCAAGGGAAGCACTTTGGGGCTGAGAATGGAGCTCTACTGCCTGTCACATAACAGAGGCCTCCAAAGCCAGCGGGACTGGGCATGGAGGCACTGGCTGGTAGGATCATGGCAGCACAGCCTGAAGGAAGCATGTACCATTAGCACGTTCCTGGGGGTGGCTCTAGTACGTACTTTCTCAAACTTTAGGGGCCCTTGATTAAGCAAAATTCTATTTCTTGGTCTACCTGGGTGATGCTAATGTCCCCTCAGCAGGTGATGCTGCACTTGGCTCCTGGCTGGTAGATTTCTGAATGTGAGGGGCATGCACTATCCTCTCACAGGGAATTCACTCCAACTCAGAATGAGTGACACTCACTTTCATGAACACGGGCAGCAGTAATCCCCCTACTCCAGTGGAAGGAGTGGGCACATAATCTCAAAGGCTCAGCTCACACTACATGGTGGGTACCTCACCTGGCACACTCCGTTTAAACAAGGAGGAAAGAGTGTGGCTGAATTGGCTGCACAGAATCTCTGTGAGCTCCTAAGATTCTTTAAATGTTGACCCATTGTCAGCCTGACCGCAGCTGCCCTTTCCCCAGTCTACACCTCGGGGTACCCAGTTAAGAGAAATCTAACATTGCTTTCTGCAGTGTCA